CATATGACTCTAGCTTCTATAGAGTTGACGAAACACTGCCTGGCACAGGTATCTTCACAATGGATGTATGCAAATCCATTGACAGCTGTCTAAGACTCACTGATCCAGCATCAGAAGCCCACCAGTGGCAAACAGCTGCCCTGCCAAAGCAGGAGAAAGTGTAACCAGAGAGCCAAAGCAAAAAGGGAATACTACCAGGACTGAGTGAGCTGCCCAGTGCAGATTCAGACATGGAATCCATACAGGAACAACAGCTACACCTAAGAGTAGCTATTGCACATCTAATTCATCTTGAGGATTTCAATGGTCAACCATAAAGTAAATGCTCTGGCTCCAACACCTGAGAAAAAGGCTGAGTAAACAAATAAATGAGGCCTGAGAGTATAGCTCGGTGATTAAGCACGTGCTTAGCATGGGTAAAGCTCTAGGTTCAATCCCCAGTACAGCACATAAAAATAGTAATCTTTTTAAGTAAAGCCCTTGTTCTACATACACTAATAGACTTGCATCATAATTGTCAGTCTATGTATTTTTTCATTTTGCTAAAACACTATAACGATGCTTAAATATTGGGAAAGTGAAAGAAATTCCAATGAGGTCCCAGCAAGGCCTGGGGAAGGATGCGGATGCTGCCAGTAGAGTTCACGACTCTGGGAGCACCTGCTCCAGCCTCTGCCTGGTTTCTGAGAACAAAAAGGCAGAACAATTGGCCAAGCTCAGTGGAACCTGCTGACAAAGGGGCCCTCCTACACACCAGCAGAACAGAGTGATGATCTGAACCCACCAGTGCAGCCCAGGGCAGCCAGAACTAAAGAGCTCGAAACAGAGCACTGGCCCCAGTATACCGGGTTCTCCCTGAGGTCAGTGGGACTCATCCCACAAGGGCTTCCACCCACCCACGCTGTCATTACTGGGAAGAGAACTGCAGAGCCAGGACCAGGACTGGACACAGCATGCATGGAGAAGCTGGGATCAATGCAGGCCATGCTTTCCAGGGGTGGTGAAAGGAGAGAGGAACCTTCACCGCAAGCCTGTGTCATCCAGACCCTGTGGGTCCTTCGTGCCCATGCTGTAGAAGTCAGTTTCTGGGGTAGGAATGGGGCTCAGTGTTCCAGCACTTGCATAGTAAGCACGATGGCAATCTCTGGGCCAAGAAAAAGACAATCAAATTAAGTTCGATTGAAGTAAAGTCAATTTACTCTCTTTAATAAGGGAGGGAAAAAAGGGTCGATTTTTTAGAAACATTTTCAGAATCAAGGAAGTGAATTTCTTTAATCCTCTGCACATTAAAAACAAATAAGTATTTCAATGAGAGAAAAGAAGAAATGGGTGCAAGTATCCCGGGGATCTTTTTATAGTATGGAGTGTGAGAATGTTAATTAAAGGAATCTCAGAACGAAGAGGGCCTGAGAAGGGAAGGAACGGAGTTTAATTTTAGGTGTTGTTTTGTCAAGTTAACAACAAAAAGTCACTTCCCTGAGTTACTCGCAGCTATTCTCAGGAACTTCATGCCCCCCCCCCCCCCCAAAAAAAAGCCCCAGTTGAAAGTGCGAAGCATAGAAAACCAATTTAATGAAAACTTCTCCCAGAGAAGGACCTGTTAAGAGTGAAGAGCACAAATTAGCAAACCCTAGGGCACTGTGTGAGCATCGGAGACAAGCAGGTATCATCTAAACAGAGTTCTTCACACAGCTGTACACGTCCATCTTTGAAACTGAAAATGTGAAAAAAGAAAAAGAGATGCTCCTACCAAGACTTTCCGGAACTGAGTGCCACTGCACCTGTCAGAATCCATCAAATGATACTTCTCCAAGGTGACTAATAATCAACTAGTGACAACTGTCACTACCCTTCCTGGGGTCCACACTCTGCCCAGTGAGGCTACAGACAAGGTCTCTAGTCCTCCTTGGACCCTGCAGGAAGTTTTTCTATTTCTGTCTTGTGAGCCCAGACGCTAAGTGGCAAAATTGCCCGCTGTCACTTTGTTAGTGACCAAGAGAGCTGCGCTTTCCACCCATCTCTACTTCCTAGCTCAAGTCATTTGCCCTGGGCCACCCAAGAGCAGTAAAGTGGGCATGAAACATGCAACAGGAATCCAGCCACACAGAGAGAAAGCATAAGGGGGATTGTCTGAGGCTGGAAGGGGACCAGCAGAGGGACGGATGAGAAGGGAGGGAATTTGGGGGTAAGTAGAAGAAAGTACCATAATGTATGTTATAGGCATGCACCTAATTCCATGGGGCACCTGCTGAGATTTCAAGATCCTGTATCCAGGAACAAAGAATTAGACCAGGAATACTGATAGTTTTAGAAATGGAGACTGATGATCAACAAGAAAGTTAGACCTGGAGCGATGGCTTAGTGCTTAAGGGCATTTACTTCTATCAGAGGAGCAGAGTGTGGTTCCCAATACATAGAGCAGCTTACAAATGCCTATAACTCCAGCTCCAAGGATCTGATACCTACTTCTAGCCTCAGTGGTCACATTGGAAAACACACACACACACACACACACACACACACACACACACACACACGTGTATACAGAAAGACACACATAGAGGACAGAGACAGAGAGAGACAGACACCCTGGGCTTAGCCCCAGGCCCCTAGATTCTGTCTTAACAGAAATTCACATAGCATCTACCTTTCCTGGCTTTTGGAAGTATGTTCTCACACATGCTCTGTCCCTCACATGTTGCCCTGGTGAGGATGAGCTCCAGTCTTTCTGCTAATGGCTTGTCTGCTGTTATTGTTTCCCACAATAATCTTAATGCATATAGAGCCACCCTCTCCACCTTCTTCTCCTACCACAGCATGCAAGTGTGAGAACGGACATGTCATCTGGGGATGGTGCACCTGCAGTCACAATACTTGGAGGGCTGAGGCAGGAGGACCAGAAACACAAGATCATCCTCAGCCTCTTAGGAAACCCAAGCCCAGGCAGACTTATACGAGATCTTGTCTCAAAATAAACAGGAAAAAAAGTCACTGTGGAACCCATTGTTTTGTATGCTAACTAAAAACAAGCAGTTGGTCTGTTTTAAAATAGGTTAAAAAAAAATCTGGCTCTTCACGTGACAGGAAGCCTCTGAAGTGGGGCAGAAGAAAGATGGGTCTTTAGCACAGTGAAAATACTTACTGTTCTTGCTTCAATGATGCAGTGTGATGACCAGTAACACAACCACCTCTATACGAGGGACCAGAACTCTTTGCTGTTCTTGTCTTCAAACAAGGACAGCTGGTAATTCACCTCTCCTGAACGTGGCTAGACTTATTATTATTTTTTTTTTTTTTTTGGTTTTTCGAGACAGGGTTTCTCTGTGTAGCTTTGTGCCTGTCCTGGAACTCACTTGGTAGCCCAGGCTGGCCTCGAACTCACAGAGATCCGCCTGCCTCTGCCTCCCGAGTGCTGGGATTAAAGGCGTGCGCCACCACCGCCCGGCCAGACTTATTTCTAATAAACACCATAGAAATGACACCGTGTGACTCCTGCAACATTAAGTAGCAACAGATACAGTGTCTAGAGAAGAGAAAAAAACAGAAGTGACTACGACCCAAATCTTGCCTACAGCCGAGCTATTGAATGTTCCTCCTGGGACTGATGCACTGCCTTTGAGTTCCTGGCCACAAACCTCAAAACAGAGCCTTCAGCACATCCTAGGAATCCTGCTGCTTCTCAAGGAATTTCCTTCCCCGCTGTTCATAAGGAACACTGTAATAACTTCCTTTGCCTCTCACAACCCAAGGCCTTCGGCCTCCATGTTCTGAAGCCTGTGACCTTCAATGAGAAAGTCAAAACAGTCAGGCACGCTGCCTCGATCCTCTGGCCAATTTCAAATCAGCCTACGCTGAACTTCATCTGCTCTCCTCATATACAGTTACGTTTGTGCTTCTCTCCAGGGCAAATCCCTTCCCTCCCACCTTCTTAACCGCCTCACTCCCTTTATTCCTTCTCATCTGCAGGTTCGGTCATCCTCTTGACTGGCTTTCCTTCGCCCAACTTCGGAATGTGGGCAGGGCTCCGGGTGCTTCCGACCTCCACTCCTCTGTCTGCTAATTCTGTCTCCCTTGAGGCTTCCTCCAGTCTCATGACTTTATAGCTAGCTACATGTTAATGACTCAATTATTTGTAGCTTGTACCCCTAATTCTTCCCCCATATTCCAGAACTGTAGATCCAACTACTTTCAAAGATCCTGTATTGATCATTTGAGAAATCAAACCCTTTCGTGCCTCTGACACACATTTCCCTCCCTGTCCTCCCGACTCCCTGTCTTAATGAACAGCACCCCTATCTTCCCAGATGCTCAAGCCACCTCTGTCTCTGTCCTTACCCTTTCTCAAGTGTTTTTCCACATCAGTGCCATTCTCTTTATGCTGTTGCTTTAAAATTCTCTTTCTTGCTCCTCTGGACTTAGTGAAGTGTTACCACCATGGTGGTACCTCCTCTGACCAACCATCCTGTAAAACTCAGCATCTCCCTCTTCCTGGATGTAGTTTGCCACAGGCTGCTCTTCTGGCTTTACATTCAGCACCTCTTAAACCCCGCGGGCCTAGGAAGTGGGCATGCCCTTTAAATTATAACCCCCTTCTTGTGTAAAGAGCAAATGGCTGGCCAGGCTGTTAGAGCAGGTGGCTTCAGAGTTTCAGCCTGTGTCTCCCCTGAATCCCAGCTCCAGTTCTTGACCACTCAGTCAGTTAGAGTCTTTTCCATGACCTTCAGCCCTTTTCACTATTTAGGAAGCTCTCTGCTCACATCTTTCTGTCATGTCAGCCTCGGCACTGGAAAACAAGCAACATGTGGACAGAGACTATTGTTCACAAACAAATGAAGATCCGCTTGGAGTCAGGAAATTAAAGCTTTTATTTCAACGGCTGCTCTTGTTTTATTTCCCAGACTTGATCTACATCTCTATGACCACAAATGATATGAACACATTATTTTGGGATTTGTCTTAAATGACTAAATGATGTTATCTATGCTTTATGTATTTTTCAGAGCAGATATACTATGCCGGCCCTATCAATAATCTTGGAATTGATGTTCCACAGGTAAGGTTTTGGTTTTCTCTTTTTGTGTTGTTACGTAATTATTGTGTTGAAGAGTGGATTTTCAACTCTTGGAAGAGAAAAAAGAGGAGGAGGAGGAGAAGGAAGAGGAGGAAGATGAAGATGAGGAAGAGGAGGAAGAAAAGAAGAGGAGGAGAAATAGATTTTAAATAGTTGAAAGCGTTCGCACATGCCATAGTTAGGAGGCGTGCTTAAGATGCTGGCTTTGTCCTTTTGATGCTTCATATTGGTGTTTGGTTGAACCTTTGGGATGAACCAGAACAAACCCAACTGAGAGTTGAAATGCTGGCATCTTGTCCACAGGATTGGGGGTGTGTCTGTGGGGACTCCATATGGCTAGAATTGCTTGGGCTGTGTAGGAGGCAACTAGCTTCCGGCACAGGACAGTTTACAAAACCACGATGGTTTCAATGTCCCTCAGTTACCACCCTTTTACGGTGTCTTCTGGGATTTTAGTCTGCTTCTATTTGCTGTGTCACATATGAAGAACAAGGATAAGGGGAGAGCTCAGCTGGGGGAGCGCTCACCCTGCAAACATAAGGACCTGAGTTTGATCTCCTGAGCCCACGTTTAAAAAGCCAAACGAGGTGGCACATGCTTATAATCCAAATGCTGGAAAAGTAGAAAAGCAGACCCCTGAGACTCCCTGGCCAGCCAGCCTAGCAAGCTTCAGGTCAGTGAGAGATCCTGACTCAAAAACAAGGAGAAAGGTAGATGACACATGAATAGTGATACCAAGATTGTCCTTGGCCTCCACATGCATGTGCGCGTGTGCACACACACACACACACACACACACACACACACACACACACATATATCTATGTATATGTGTGTGTGTCTAACATACACATATGTCTGCACATACAAGCATAACCACACACATACATGTACACAAAGTAATAAAGGTGTACCTAGCCCACCACTCCAGAGTATCGTACATCCAGGGTAAAGGAGGAACATCTGGTGAGGGTCTCCTTGCTGCTGAGGACTTTGCAGCATCCTAAGTCAGCACAGGACATTAGGGGACAAAAGGCATCAAAGTTGTTTTTATAACATACCCACTCCTGAGAAAACCCTCCTGTCCCACACTGTGAGCTCCTAAGTCAGTCTGGAACAGGCCTTCTTGGATTTCTGTAGGAATCTTTCTCTCAACTGGAGTCTTCAGCCCTCCCTCTTGGGAATTTTCCAGTGATCTTCTCAGGCCTTTCTGTGAAATGCACAATGTCTGCCAGGAAGGGAAACAATCTCTCCTCGCTGCTAGCATGCACAGCCTGAACTCTCCCAGGGAGTTTAGCTTCAAATTGTTGCTACTTGAATTCTTTCTCTCTCCTCGTTTTTCTTCTGATACCCCACAAGAGACTGATGTAATAATTGCTATCAATTGGATTTCATTTTGCTTTGCTGGCTTTTTAAAATCAGTTACTCTTAGCAATTCCTATGAAACAAAGGGGGGCAGGGTCTTAAAGTCATAGAAGCCCTTTGAAAGGAAATTTGCCCTCAGAGATGTAAAGGGATTTATAGATGTTCCTCATCTTAACTCAGGATTACATCCATAAACTCATCATAAGTTGAAAATAGCGTAAGTTGAAAGTGCATTGACTCCACCCAGCCTACAGAAAAAAACATCATTGCTTCGCAACATGGTTCACAGAAGAGTGCTGGTCATTTGATCGTGTCTTCTCATGGCTGGGCACTGTGACTCACTGGCACTGCTCAGCATGGAAGGGGGTTTGAACTGTATGACACAGGCCTGGAAAACAAAAATTCAAAATGCAAAGTAGAGATCCTACTGAGTCGATTTTTATCTCCCCCATTATAACTAAAGCCGTTGTAAGCGGACGCCATATTGTAGTCATCTACAGTACTTGCAGGACACTCCCTGACTTCTTCAACCAGTCAACAGCTCTCCAAGAGATCCAATCCAATGTAAGCCACGCATAGCCGGGTGTCCAGAACCTGGTTCTCTTCTTCTTCTGGGGCCTGTACCTGGGAAGTTGACACCTGGCAAGCTCCTTCCCACACCCAGCCTGGAGACCCAACAGAGGACGTAGCCTCCTGGGACACATTCCACACAGGCCTATGCAGCAGAACAGTTGGGACCTTGATCCCAAGAGAGGCTGTTCACACTGGCCACAGCCAGCCAGAGTGTGCTTAGGGCCTCCAGCTCACAACCAGCTGCCACACAGAGAGCCTCTGCTTTCCTAAGAGCAGTTAGTTGAGAACATTTTAATGAAGGGCCTATTCACATCCCCTCCATCACCTAGACCCTCAGAGATGGGCTCTGAACTAATGGAGATTCCTCTTTAGCCAAAATTCTTTCCACTCAGTATTTACTTTTCAGTATCTTGGTTACTTTTCCTCTTTTTTGAAATGTGTTTATTTATGTACCTATGTGTGTGTGTGTGTGTGTGTGTGTGTGTGTGTGTGTGTGTGTGTGTGTGTGTGTGGGTGGGTGTGGGTGTGTGTGTGGGGTGTGTGTGTGTGGTATGTACTTGTTAGTGTGCACATGTGCATACAAGTGAATGGGTAAAAGGATGTGGATGTGTGAGATCTCCTTTGGATGTTTTTTCTTGATCTCATTCCATCTTTGTTTTTCACATACATTTATTTATTTATTTGCTTGTTTGTTTATGTGTGTGTGTGTGTGTGTGTGTGTGTGTGTGTGTGTGTGTGTGTTATAGGCACATGTCACAGTGCATGTGTGGAGTTCAAAGGACAACTTTCAGGAGTCTGTTCTCTCCTTCCACCATGTGGGTTCTGAAAATCAAACTCAGATTGTCAGACTTGGAAACCAGCACATTTACCACTGAGCCATCTTGCCATCCCTGCACCTTTATTTTTTGAGACAAGGTCTAACATTGAGTCTTAAGCACATCAATTCAGCTGAACTGGCTGGTCAATGAGTTTCAGGGGTCCACTTATTGCAGTGGAACAATCTTTGTACACTGTAAATATGTATTACTCTCATTGGTTAATAAAAGAGCTGACTGGCCAATAGCTGGACAGGTAGAGGTTAGGCAGGACTTGTAGACAAAAATAGAGCATGAAGAAGGGAGGAGTCTCAGGAATGAAGGAGATGAATTTGCTGTGTTAAAAAAAGTACTGCCACATGGCAGAGTGTAGATAAGAAATATGGATTAATTAAAATATCAGAGCTAGTTAGTAACAAGCCTGAGCTATCAGTCAAGCATTTATAATTAATAATAAGTCTCTGTGTGGTTATTTGAGAATTGGCTGGCAGGACAAAAATGTCTGCCTATAACTTTTCTCCACCTTCCACTACTACCCCCATTGCTAGTGTTTTAAGGGTACACTGCCACCTGTGAATTTTTGCAGAGATTCTGGAGATACAAATTCTGGTCCTAATGCCTGCACATCTGACTTTATACCAACTAAGTCATCTCTCTAGTGTAAAACTTATCTTTTAATTGATGGATAATAATTGTAGGTGTTTATAGAGCTCAATGTGACATCTCTGGATACATGCAGAGCATATATTAACCAGATCAGGGCAATTGGTATAGCCGTTGTTATCATTTCCTTGTGCTGGGAAAGGATAGTCCCAGCTTATTTATAAAAAGCCCTCTCCACCAACTTATTTTCCTTTTAACACAACAATCCCTTGACCCAAATTAAAGTCCTGCATATAATCCTGTATTTTCTGTGTCTGCTCTTTTCTGAATTAAGAGTGAAAGATCCTTTTCAGTCTAACAAAATATATGAACATTTTCTTGGTACAACCTGAACCATAAATTGCCGAGGAAATGGATTCATACTTCTAGCCCTCCTCAGTGCCCTCCTTAGCCGCAGAAACAGACTGCTCTCTGTCCATTGCCCCTATCCTGGCTTCCTATCCCATAGTCCATGCCTCTGTCAGCCTCCAGAAAGGCTGGGTCCCCTGAAGAAGCTCACCCTTTATATAAAAGCATGTGTATCAGCTGGGCGGTGGTGGCATACGCCTTTCATCCCAGTACTCGGAAGGTAGAGCTAGGCAGATCTCTATGATTTAGAGGCAACCCTGGTCTACAGAGCAAGATCCAGGACAGGCACCAAAACTACACGAGAAACCTGTCTCAAAAAAAAAAATATGTATCTTGTCATTCATAATCTAGAGCCCCTTCCTTCAAATGCTGTAGTTCTTTTAGGCTAATGGCATGTACAGTCTCTTCTAAACACAGCAGCCAGAGAGCTCTTCCTAACATACCCGAGAAAACTGTCACACCCGAGTCCCTTTCAGGGTTGAAGCAAATACCCCATCATGTCTGCCAAACCCTGAGACTCTGGCCTCTTGTGGGCTTCCAATCTCCCTTTCTCTCCCTCCTCCCTGAAGTCCCATTGGCCTCTTGTCTGTTTCTCAAATAGGGAGACATCAGCCCCACAGTAGCCTGGCACCCTCTTGCATCCCTTTCAAGTGTTTTCCTAAAGGTCATTCTCTCTCCAAGGCCTCCCTTGGATCATCCTGCTTAGAGTTGCAAGCTAACATCAGTCCCACCAAAGTCAGCTATTCTTTCCACCCCCTTCCTGAACAAATTTCTCCATGGCAACTTTATCTGTGGCATTCCTTACCCTGGGAACTTTTCATCCCTCCCAGTGAAATGCAAACTATACAGGGTAGGGAGTTGGTTTGTGTTGTTCTAGTTTATCTGCAGAGTCAGGAACCATGCCTAGCACACATATGCTGCTCAATAAATACAACTGTTCCTCAGTACTCATGGGGGATGGGTTCCAGAACCCCCTCAAACACCAAAATCCACAGATGTTGCCAGAAAGATGGCTTAGCAAGTAAAGGTGCTTGGTGATCTGAGTTCTATCCTGGGGTCGGTCCCACATGGTGGAAGGAAAGAACCAATAAACACAAATTGTCCTTTGACATCCCCCAACATATACAACCATAAGCTGTGGCATGTACACGCCAATACCCATACACATATACACACACACACGTACTAAGATAGATAGATAGATAGATAGATAGATAGATAGATAGATAGATAGATAGATGGATGATAGATAGATAAATGTAATTGAAAAATATCTAATACAAAATGCTCAAATCCTTATTTAAAATAGCATAGTCTTTGCAATATAATCTATACTCATCCTTGGGTTCACTTTAACCATTTCTAGATGACTTATACTACTTGATATCATGTAAGCTCTATGTTGATCATTATACTGGACTATCCAGAGGATCTTAACAAGACAAAGAAGTCTAAACATATTCAGAACAGAAACAACTTTTTATGAATATTTTTATTCTGCAGTTGGTAGAGTACACAGAGGCACAGTCCTTGGATGGAGAAGGAACTGACTGTACTTATTAAGTGGTTGACTGGATTGTGGCTCATATGCCTAATGCTTTACCTGTGTCCCTTGCAGGGCGAATACCAGATTTTGCTGGAACTGTATAATGAAAACCGTGCCACTGTGGCTTGTGCCAACGCGACTGTCATCAGCTCTTGACCATGGCCTGCCAGAAAATGCACAGCAAGCTCGACCTTGGTGAACCCCAAGGTCCCCAGACTCAGCTGCCTGTAAGAAGAACCACTGATGACCAAGAGAGGCTCTACAAAGAAATTCCACATGGGCCCCCTGCCAATCTTAGCCCCAGGGACAGATGCTTCCAGACCCCACAAAAGTAATAAGGCCTCCAAAATGATGTTTCTAAGGACTCTAAGTAGTAGAGCCATTACCCATGTGTAATGGCTCTCCTTATGTAATTGCATCTCATCAAATGTACCTCCTTGTCTGCTCCTTAGGAACACTTCCTTGCGGTTGCCCAGGATTTAAAAAATAAAAACACCTGGCCTACACCTGTTCATTGTGGCTTGTTCAATGACTGTCAGGACAGTCTGTGGTTAACGAGGTACTTTCTTCAGATGCAAGTGTTGGCCACTAGTGCAGCACAAGCAGCTCTCGGAAAGCCAAGAGGATGGTGGCCGCCTAAACTCAGAGCTCCAAGACACTGTGTCGTGGCTGCTCCTGGGCCCTAAGACCATGACGGGGAGATGCTGATGAAACCTCACCAAGAGTGACGTTATCCCCCACCACTACTTGTCCACATACTCTTTACCTTCTTCCTCTGTGTCTGTCAACCCTCCATCTCTAGGGTCAGTCCTGGGGTCAGTCCCACATGGTGGAAGGAAAGAACCAATAACCACAAGCTGCCCTTTGACATATACAACCCCTGACATATACAACCATATGCTGTGACATGTACATGCCAATACACATATACACACACACTAAGATAGACAGACAGACAGACAGACAGACAGATAACAAATCCCTATGTTAACTAACTTAACAAAGGGAATATGGATACTTGGCTCACAGCTTTGGAAGTTTCTGCCGGTGACTGTGGTCCTTATGCTTTAGCCTGTAATGGAGTGTCACCTTACAGCAAGAGCATGTGACACAGTAAAGGAGGACAGGATCCCACAATCCCCTTCAAGACAAAGACTCCAACTGAAGACTAGGCCTTTTTCTGCAAGATTGCAAACTTCTAAATAGCACCTCCCTAGGGACCAAACTTTTAACTCACTGGCTTTCCTGGACAGTCAAGATTCAAACTTAGCATTCCCAAAGCCAGACTTTGCCTGCCCTCAGCACACAGTAGTACTTATTCATTCTTGAATTCATTTATTCATCCATTCATTCATTTATTCATTCATTCATTCATTCAGGAAATTACTCCTGAACACTTTACATATCAGGTACTATGTGGTTTTAGGATACACTTAAAAACAAAAAGACTCTGTCCCTATCTCCTCTGAATTATCAGTCCCCTGAGCTGCTTAGAAGCCATGTGTCCAGTTAGGGGCACATTCACTCATGTCACTCACATGACCCTCCTTCAGCACCTCAGTAAGGGAGCCAGTTGCCATCCTGCTTCTGGCTTCCCAGAAGCCACGCCCTCCCGTTTCTTGCCTGTGCAGCTGGCTCTCAGGCTCTGTAGCTGCTTCCTTCCCGTTTCCTCCCAGCCTCTCCCACTGCATCCCTGGGCCTCCTGCTACACGGCTATAGTAAAAGGAGGTGCGTTGACTCACCATCTGTCCGTTCCTAACCTCTATAAAAGTGTCTTGGTGTCAGATTAGAAGAGGAAAAAGGTTCCTAGTCCAAAGCATGTTGATTGCTTTGAATTCCTGTAGGCACAGAATTAAATCTCCGAGAATGGCCAGACAGACAGACCCGGTGAGTCAGCACTAAACCAACCAGGATGGCCAGCCATATACGCACAGTAAGGCAGCTTTAGAAGTAATATGGAAGTTTCCTGGGTTGAAAATAGACAAAAATGATAGCAGTGTCCCTGTGTGGGCCTATAATGCTCCCAAGAAAAACACAGCCATGCCAGGCCTAGGAGCAAGCTTCTAATTATACAACCATTCTGATCCTTCCATTCCCTCTAACTCCGGGCATGTGCCCCATTCCTTTCTCAGTACATTCCTGTGACTGATTTAAAAAGAAAAGAAAAAAACCTTCAGGAGACTGTGTGTCCTCACTCACATGTCCCACCAGGTCAGAACAGCTGTCACAGCCTCCCAGAGGCATGAGTAGATCCCAGCCATTCTTTCTCTTTTGCCCTTCTTGAACCTGACAGCCTCTGTGGGGCACATGTGTGCGTGCGTGCGTGTGTGTGCGTGCGTGCGTGCGTGTGTGTGTGTGTGTGTGTGTGTGTGTGTGTGTGTGTACGCACATGCAAGCATAATACCAGAGACAGAGACATTTATTCAGACTCTGTATGTTTCATTTAAATAGGGACTGTCATGTATAGAGCTGACCCCTGGCATGGCTGTGAGAATACACTCATACTCACAGTTCCACTAAGAACACGATTTGTGAGAAAATGTTCCTCTGTACCCACATATGTGTTTTCCTAACTCCTTAGTCTAAGCCTTAGCTTTCACCATGAGTTCCATTTTTGAAAGTTGAAAAAAAATTCCAGAATTTAGGAATCTCCTACAATTAGACCCGGTAGGAGAAATGACCAGACTCACTCTGGTGGAAAACAGTACCTAAGACGGTGTGTGGTGTGGCGGAAGACGGGAGGTGCTGAGAAGCAGTTCCCCGATAAGTGTAGCTCCAGCCCCTCATCAAAAAGGTTTCTTTCTGCAGCACACAGAGATGGGACAGAAAGCCACAGCTGCAGCAGTGCCCTGCCCCAGGAGACTGCAGGGCCCCACTCCAACTGATGATGTTAGGTCTCAAGCTTGGAGAAGCCGCTGAGGTGTCCATTAACATATCAAAGTAGACCTGGCCCCAGGTACTCAGCATCCCTCAGTCCCTGTCTGTTACAGGGTATGGCTGGCACACCCTGCCCCCTGCCCTAAACTTCTCCACCCCAGGGGCAGGGCTGCCCTTCCCCCAGATGCCCTTCCCTATATAATCCAGCCATTTTGGTTTCCTTCCCTCTTTTGTGGTCTATCCTTTACCTCCCTGGTCTCTTGGTCTGGTTCTCCCCTCTCTCCTCCCCTTCTCCTCACATGGCCTGGCTCAGTCTAGTCATGTTCGCTCCGGATGCTTCAAGGATGCCCCTGCCGTTGGCTATACTCACCTTTTTATCTACCATAAACTTTCTCCTCCACCATACCTGGGAGCAGTCATGTCCTTTCATTTTTTATTTCTTGTTTTCCATTCATCTGGTGCCGAAACCCAGAACCGGTCACGTCCTTTCCTATTTCTTTTTTTCATTCAGATGCATATACAATACAACCTTAGGCACCCGAGGCACAGGGAACAGTCCGAAACAACAGGGCAGAAAACTGTAAGATCCAGAGGACCAGGAAATCAGCTGCAAGACTGTTTTCTAGATGTGACAGAGAAGGCACACCCACGAAATGTTAACATCACAGCTGCTCAATCAAGACCCGAACAATGACACCACCAGTCGACATGCTAACAGTGATGGGGAATTCTCATGGGAGCCTAGATAAAGAGCGACAAGCAATTAAAGACTGCTGAGAGACAGAAAATTAACCTTCCCCGGGGATGATTCCCCCTAAATGGTTATCCAATCCCAAGCAGTCAGTCCTAAAAATATTCACAAACAAAACACTAAACAGACTCGGAAGGCGGCATTTATATATTTATTTGCATCTATATGTAACAATACAATAACAATTACAATAGTAATTGAAGAGAAAAAGACCATGAATTTGAGAAGAAAGGGCACAGGAGAAGTTGGAGGTTGGGGGGCGGGGGGAAATAGTGCAATTATATTTTAATTAAATAAAGAGTTTCTTTTTAAGTAGGTACCCGGAGTTAGAAATCTAGGTGATGTGGTAAGGAAAGGCAGAGGGCATGGAAGGGACCCAAATTTCCTGTCCAATGATTTAAGTTTACTTCTCTTCTGTAGCATGAATCTTAAATGGTCTTATTAATAAAAACAAACCCAGGGCCTGGTATTGGTGTGAATGCTGGAAGATCATAGAAGCAGAACAAGCCATAGCTTCCTTACCTTGGCAATTACTCAGCTGATCCTGTTTCCTCAGACTGGAAGCCTCTGTGTTCTTATCCAAATGGATTGTAGCTGGAGAATTTTTCTCCAGCTCCCACCGCCAAGTCCCGCCAGTCCTGGAGCCCACTTATAAAATAAACACACAGACTCTTAAATTATTTAAACTGCTTGGCCATTAGCTCAGGCCTATCACTGTCTAGCTCTCACTCTTATATTCAGCCCATTTCTATTAATCTTTACTTTGCCATGTGGCTCGTGGCTTACCGGTACTTTACATCTTCCTTGTCTTGGTGGTGGCTCCAGCTGGTCTCCCTTTCCTTCCTCCTTCCCCAATTCTCCTCTCTCCTTGTCCCACCTATACTTCCTGCCTGGTCACTGGCCAATCAGTGCTTTATTTATATAGAGTGATATCCACAGCACTTCCCCCTTTTTTTTTAAAAAAGGAAGGTTTTAACTTTAACATAGTAATATTACATATAACAAAATAATTATCGAGTAAGAATTATAGTTACAATATAAAAGAAGATATCTATCTTATATTTGTAAGTTTAAGGTTTTATATCTAACTTATCTTTTATCATAACTAAGGTCATATTCTGTAGGTCTTTGAAGTGTTTGAAGACTACCTATCTATCTGAAATATATCTATGTATACCTAGAAGACTTAACTAACATGGGTACAAATATGATTACCATAGATGACTATTAATCTATTTTTTAATTATCCATTACAATTTTAAATGAGTTACATAAACATAATACCTCACACAAGAATAGAAATATATATACAGTATAACAAAAATTAAGTTTAAATTTATACCAATAAACTAAAATCTATAGCAATGTAAAACATTTTAAACAAGTTGTTACTCTTTAAAAGTAGGTTCATTAATCTACCCTTTTATCCTATCATATCTAAACTATCCCCTTTTTTTCTTTAGAAAGAGATTGTATTTATAATCAACCTGATTTAAATAAAAATATTGGTTTTTCTCTGTCCCATACCAGAGGGCTCTTCTGATTTGGGACACAAGAATCTCTTAACCATTTTTTTTTAAGCAATATGTCTGGGTTTAGAGGGGGAGTGAGCCAATTCCATCTCTAAAGCCAGCTTGGTATATTTGGGAATTTGGGCATAGCTTTTCTTACTACTTCCTGCTGGAGGGGGGGCGCTGTATCTTATGGGGACACAAAGAAAATTTTAGGATTATGGAGTAGTCCATGAGGGTGTATCATCTGAGCCAGTTGCCTGAAACTGTTCCGGATGTTGGATCATCTGGGCCATGGTGTCATTGGAGACCTTTCAGGGGGTCTTGGCTGGTCAAACCTGATGTATCTTTTTTTTTTTTTTTTTTT